CCCTGGTACCGCGCCGCACGCGCCCGCCCCGCCCCCTCTTTGCGGAGCCCCAAGACCGGCCCATGGCCCCATCCGCACCTCCCGGGACACCGCCGGGGCACGCCCGCCGCCGCCACCGCTCGTACCTGGCTCTCCCGGTGCTGCGCCGCCCGCTCTACCCAGAACCCGGATTCGGGTCGCGGCCCCTTTAAATGGAGGCGCCGCTCGGAGCCCTCAACGCGCTGCAAGCCGACGGGGGGGCGGCGGCGGCGCCCTATTGGCTGTGCGGAGCGAGGGACGCGCTCTGATAGGCCGCGGTGCGGCCGGGGCTCGCGAGACTCGCTCACCAGCAGCTACCGCGGAAACGCGGAGCGGAGCCCCGAGTGCGGGAGCGGCGCCACAGCCCGGATCGCCACGGGCGCCTGGAAAACCTGGGGCGGATCCGCCCGGCGGAGCGGGTCCGGGCGGGCGGGCAGCACGGAGCCGGGCGCGGGTGACGGCCGCGGTCTGGCGGGGCACGGCGGGGTGCGGGGGTGGAGCACGGCGGCGGTCGCGGGCCGGAACGGGGCGCCCCGGTTCCCGCCGGTGCCCACGCGGCCACCCGCAAAGCGCGGAGCGGATCGCACGGAATGGGCTCGCCACCCCGCTCCCCGCCCCCCCCTTAACCCTCTCGCTGCCGCCTCTCCCGGCCCCAGCCCCGCTGCCGTCCCGGGGCGTCCGGTCCGGCCGCACCGCCACGGCCTCTACCTGCCCGCGGGGGGACCCACCCGGCCGAGCCCGGGCGCCGCCACCGCCTCCCCGAAGCCGGAGCGTCTCCCCGGGGCGGTGAGTGACAGCGCGGCCGGGCGGGGCTTCCGCGGGGGCCCGGGACGCGGCACCGCCCCCGGGAGGGACCGCCCGGGCCGGCGCCCCCCATTCCCGGCACCGCCTCCCCCGGGATCCCCTCCCGTGCCGCGCTCCCGCCGCACCGCGCGGAGCCCGGCACGGTGCGCTTCCCCAGCCGTGACAGCGCCCACCCGGCCTCGCCGCCCGCGGCGCCCCTTCCCGCTCCCTCCGTGCCCCCCCGCCTCGCCGGGGGTCTCCTGCCGGCGGGACCCGGGCCCCTCCTCTCAGCGGGGCGGCATCCAGCTCTCGGGGCGCCCGCTCCACCGGGGGCTCTGCCAGCGCTCCCGCCCCCGGGAACCCGCGGCTGAGCGTGGGCTGGGAGCGGGGCACAGCCGGGAGCGGGCGCTCCGCGGGGGCTGTGAGCCCCGGGTCACCGCGCCCGGCAGCGGGCTGGCCGCGGGCGCGGCACCTGCCCCGCTGAGCGGGCGGGAGGCTTTATTGCAAGGCGGCGGAACGACACCCGCCCGAGGCACGGTGCGAGCGCGCTGCCAGGGGCCGGAGCCGCCTCCCCGCGCGACGGGCACGGCGTCCGGACGACGCGGGGGAGCGCGCGGCTGGACGCCGCCAGCAGCGGGCACGGGGATGGACTGTGTCTGGAGGAGAGCGGACCGGCACAGGGCGGCCCCGCGGCGCTGCCCGGCCCCGGTGCCCGCCGGCCGGGGCGGAGGGGCCGGGCG